ATGGTTCAATTCCCAGCTCTGTCACTGAACCACTCTGGGACTTGGGGAAAAGTCAGTTCGCCCATCTGTAAAATGGGATTTATAATGCGTTGCTTCTCAGGGGTATTGAAGGAGTATGAGTAGCATTGATGGAATGCTTCATGCACCTTGGATAGAAGGGGCAAGAGCCCTGTGAACTGGTGTCGTTAATAGATACTTAGAGGAGATTCCTTCACTGTGGTACTTATCTGACCACAGCAGCTGAGTGCCTCACAGCCACTGATGGATTTTTTTTTTCTATTACCTCTCTGTATCATAGGATTGTTGCAGAGGAAAGCAAGGCAAATGGAAAAATGAATGGAACTTGACCCCAGTCACATAGAGAATATCAGAACTAATAATTTATTTCCTAAATTTCTGCCACAGCCATTTCACTTTCATCCTAGTTGTATGGATTTTGTGATCTGAAGGCATGAGAGAAAGCCACCTTCCCTCTTCCTCCGAAACTGGCCAGTTACACCATGGTTGATTTCCTGCTGGATGAGGGGCAAGTGGTCTGGAAAGGGAGTCACTGTGGTCCATTACTCTAGTCCTATAATTTTTGGGTTTGTTTCTTTCATCTGCTGGAGTAGTTTTCAGTCAAGATTTTAATGTTAATCCAGTCATCCATAGCAAATGTTCTAGCTTTAAGAGGATGATGGTAGAAAAACATCTAGATTTGCTGTTCCTTATTTCCAGGACAAATTTCTAGGAATAGTAAAGAGTCATATATACATGTGAAATCAGAGAAAACTACTGGTAATGGATACTTCCTAAAAAATAGCTTCACAAACTGCTGCTGCTTGTTCAGTCAGAGGGCCTTAAAAATGCAAGGCAGAGCATGATAGCAACAATATCAATTAACATGATGTAAAAATCATGAGTGGAGATAAGAGGAACAGCTAAGGATAAATAACAATCAAGGTCTCAATACTCACACACTTCAAAAGAAAAAATATAACTATGCGTGTTTATATTTATTTATTTATTTGTGCTATCTATCAAGATATTTACCAGCCAAAGAGAAATGGGGGCACACTAATTGAGTAAAAACTTGTAAGATGCTTATGCAAATCCAGCCAACTCTAAGAGTAAAATCTTGTTTAACCAAATATAATACCTGCAAAACCCTCTAAAAGACACTTCAGCCTTACTTTGATCAAACAAGTTTAGACTAATCCACATATATACCTTAACCAGGTTTCCTTGTGTTTATGGCATTTCTCCTGCTCCCCAGAAATGAGGCAGACGGTTGTTCCAGCTCAGTGCAACACCCTGGTAATCCCAATGCCCAAACACGATCCTGCTCAACCCACCTCCCCATGAAGAAATTAACCAGTCTTACAGGCTCTTCTCCAGGATATTTGGAAGAGATATACTGTACATGACAGCTTATAAAGTATACCTGCTTCAGATTCACTCCAGAGAAAGAACATATTCCAGGTCCTACTCCACCCACTCACCCAGACTCCAGGACATTAAATTAACCCCCTGTCAAATTTACTGCAGGCCATCTGACCATACCATTTAGCCCACAGTAAAGACAAGATCTATACCTAGCTACAGTGAGGAAAGCAGGCAACTCTGTGGAAAACCTAGTTATATCATTCAAGGAGATCAACAGAGAGCCCAAGCCTGGAGGCCAGCGACCTCAGATTAACACAAAACTTAAAGAAAAAAATTAATGGTCTCAATTCAAGAGACCATAGCTGTTATTCCAGAGAATTCCAAAGCCAGCCCCGCAGCTTAATGACCAAGGAAAAGTGCTTAATTTTGGAAATAGAGCAAATACTCACCCATTGCTGGTACAGGAACAGAAGTACAGAGCTGCTTTCCCAGGACTCCCAGGATGAACAGCACAGACAGGTTCTTGGTGGCACCAGATGTACACTTTGTAGTGGCTTTTCTAGAAGAAGCTACTACTCACCATAGAGAGCTTTCCATGGATTGTCTCCAGAAAGTGCTCCCTTGGGGGTCTCCCTCCCAGATAACTGTGAGGAGGTGGAAGGGGAATGAGGCACCTGCTGAGGTCTCTGGAGGCCACACACACTGGCAAAGATGAATTTTAAGGCCTCAGGTTCCTTCTTTTCTGCCTAAGCCTTTTCTCAACTTCCTCAACTGCCCCAGCTCCTCCTTAACCCCCTCAGGTCAGCCTAAACCACCTCAAATCAGCCTCAACTGCCACAGGTCAGCCTTAACGGCCCCAGCCCAGTCTCAACTGCCCCAGCTCAGAGCAGCAACAGCCCCTGAGGGGCTGCTCAGGGGGCTCCAACCGTCACAATATGGAGGCATGGAGAGGGTGCCCAGTGCTCAGCTCGCTGAGGAACCAGCACAGCTCCATGTAGATGACACAGCCAGAGAGTGCTGCATAGACCGTGATGAAAGGTAGCCATGGCAGGGCTATGCCATGGTCATCATAATGGCAGGGTAGCCATGACTTCTGCTCCTCCTGAGGCACTGCCTGATGGACTAGGAAAAATGACAAAAAATGGCAGGAAATGGTGGCTGCCTCAGGGGCCCCTAAACTGGCCTCAGTCTCCCACAGACATGGGCCCTGCTGATCCACCAGGCACAGCACTGGCTGCTTAAAACCTTCTCTCCAGTGTAATCTCCAGCCACACCCTCAGAACAGTCTCAGGAAGGGCTTTCAGAGGTACAAAAAAGTCTTTACCCTGTCACACCGTAACTTAGAGTGGACAGCTGAAAATGGGACCTGCCCTACCTGGCATGGCTGTGAGTTAAGTCCTAGAGAAAGTTAAGATCTGATTGTGTTTCATTATTTTTTAATTAAAAAGGCCATAATTAGACCCTGGAAAGACCTGGTTATAGGGACAGTGAAGCTCAGTGGAAGTTGTGAAGTCAGATTTTATTTTTGGAGTAGCCAGTGACTGCTGGTGCAGTGCTGGACATGTTAATGAACTTCTGCTGCCTTTAACTCCTTTTGCTTTGTTTCAATTTAACCACTTTTAGGCAAGAACACATTTTTGGGTGTACAGGTTGTGCACAGTAGGGCTGTGTTCTGTCATGTGGCTATACAGGATACTGGTATGCAAGTAACAAGTCATAGCAATGCCGGCTATACTCATGATCTATAACTTTCCTGAGGATTTTTCTAATTTTTTTTCTTTTTTCTGGGTGAGAGATTCAGGAGGCTGATCCCTCAACTGGGAACTAGTAGGTCCCATTTCATGTCCAGCTTTTGCAGCAGAGCTGGCTGCCACATTGTGGCCTGTTTCACTGAATGTCACATCTGGCTGATGTAAAACACACATGTTTTGACTGAAGCTTTTTCTTTAAAATGCCAACATTAAAGGAAGGTTTGCTTTGTAAAACTGAAACTGTAAAACTCTTCTGAAACCCAGTCTGGGGGATTAAAAGAACCACATGAAAAGGGATAAATATGACCTGGACATTTACTTCCTGTGCAGAAGTTCGCTGAACATGTGCCTCCCAGCCTGTCAGTGCAAAAGAAGACCTTCTGCTCTTATTCTCAGAAGGAAAAGAAAAAAAGGAGAAGAGAGGAAGACATGACAACTCTTTTCTATGTCATGGCTTATGTCAGATACGCTGATTTCTTTACAGTGGCATCTCCTGCATCTTAAAACCAGAAAGACGCACAACTAGTAATAAGAAATTAAGTATTAACAAACCATTCTTATTTGTACTATATTGTAAAATTGAACTTGATCCATTTTTAATTGGCCATCAGGGACAGAACTCCTTTGGGTTTCAGTGGGAGTAAGATCAGACCTAAAGATACAATGGACTGAGTCCAAGGATTCTCTGATGATGTACAGAAGATACACATGGATAGACAGAGCTTCAGTTAGTCAGAAAATGGCTCACTTTCAAGCAAACTAATGCAAGATGTCTATATTGGTATCGTCCATTTCAAGTATTAAAAGTAATTTTTGGGTTCCAAAAATAACTTTACTTAAATATTATGAGACTTGAAAGGAAAAAAAAAATAGTTATAAATTCTCTGTATTTCTTTCCTAGGTTTTGAATCTTCAAGAAGATATCACATTTTTTCTGGTTTCCTTTATCAATAATGAACTTCTAGAAGCTTGATTATTTTTAAAACTGGAACTGACATTGTGATTTATTATTGTATGATTTCAGAAGACAACAGTCAAGAGGAAAGTCATATAAAAGCAGGCAATACATTAAAATTACAACTGTTCTCAAAATAACTTTCTGATCTCAGGTCCCAGTACACAAATTGCAGAGGACAAAATGCAATAAAATGTAAAATTTGGCACTGCCATTCTGTTTTGGCAAAAAAAAGTCCCTTTATCCCAGTGAAGTTCCCTAAAAGCCAGTTACACATTAATTTGGGACTGTATTTCTCCCTCATGGTCAATGGTGTTAAATTACACTGAAAGTGGTGTTAGTTGCCCAGCAGTCATAATTTGGAGAAACACAACTTTATATACAGGGAGAAGACAGCACTTTCCATATAAAGACAGGCTTCCAACAGAAAATGTTTGGCTCTGCACATGGAATGTTGTGAATTACCTGCCTGTACCACTGGATTGTAACTACTGGAATAGCTCATCCTGTGGATGCACAGATGGGATCCTAGTTGGATCTGAGCTGAAAATTTTTCTGTTGTTTGGGGTACTTGAGTCTGTAGTTTGTCAGTACAGCCCCCCCCCCCCCGTTTGACTTCTTTGCGTGTTTATTTCGTTTGTTTTTTAATTTTAGAGTGATTAAGTTTGGATTGGCATTCTTGGATAATGCTCCCTGTCCCATATAGGAGATATAAACACCCAATAACCCAACACCATACTACACTTTTCCCAAATGCTCTCCCAACTGGGTTTCATCTTTGAGACAGACTCATCTCTTCTACTTGCAGCCTTAGTTTCTAATTCCATGGAAGCCTTTCCCATTGCCTGCTACTGTATAGAGCTGTTAAAGAAATCTTCTTTCTGTCTAATCTTGACACAATTAAAAAAAACAAAACCAGAAAACAAAAATCAAACAACAACAAACTTTTATTTTCAAGCCAGAAGCAAGCAAAACAAAAATGTTTCAAAGTCACTGTTCAATGGAGATAAATCCTTTCCCAATCCAAAGTGGACAGTTCCTCAGCCATTTCCAAGATGGAAAGAGGCCATTTTATGATCCAGAAAGCATCCATTTTCTGTCAGTCCTGAGCCAGGGAGGCTTGTGCCTGTGTCAGTTCTAGGCGGGGAATGGCTGGCATTTCTCCAAGCTTGGGAGTGTTGCTATCACAGCAATTGTTTGGTGATGCCATCCCAATAAAGCTTCATTATGGTGTTCCTCTTTCTATAAACCTCAGTGCCCTCCAGTGTCCCCAGCAATCACTTATCTAATATTAGGATATTAAAAAATATGGAAAGATTTTAAAGAGACTTATTAAAATGCAATTAGCAGCATGTACGACTTAAGCAGTGAGATTATTTTAAAAAATGACTTGATTGTGTGGAATGCCATGCACCTTATAGAGATAATAAAGCTGCCAATCAAGTCCATTTTCAAATTAGGAAATTTTCATTCTTTTTTTACAGCCCCCTAAGTGAATATTAAAACTGATTATTAACCTCGAAGTGTAGCAGCAGGCCCTGAGCCTGTGAGCTCTGAAAGGGAGGTTTCATAACCGAGGGTAGCCTGGGCTTCAGTTCCCATTTGGACTGAGATCTCTGTGTTTATTTAAAGGGACAGTGCTCGCCCTTTGAATAAGGAAATCTGATAAGTCTGCATGGGTTCCTTGTTTAGAAAGGGGCAAAGCTCCAGAGCTTGCCATGGGAGGCCAAAGCGCAACGGCTGCAGTGGCCCCGCGGTGCAAGGCTGTGATAACCTGCAGGTAAGGCTGCCCCCGTATGTCCGATCACAGTATCTCCACGAATCCTTCACTCCCAGCATAGAACCTGCCTTTTCTTCAAACAAAAATGTGTACGTTAAATGACTGTTTCTGTGGGAACACACCCCTTTGACATACTCAGGTTGCTGTGCATAGATTTTCAGTGGATGTTATTATTCTCAGTTTATTTTATTACTTCCCTCGTTAAATGTAAAACCCTGTCGTTTACCTTGCCTTCTTTTTATTTAATTTCTGTCCTACTGAGAGACAATCAAGTGTGACATTTCCTGCTATTTCACTTTGCTGGCATTTTTATTTCATTTATAAAAAAAGGATCTTTCTCTAAGAAATTAAGTCACGTTACCTTGATAGGTTACCCATTTTGCAGCTCTTTACTCCACTGTCAAAATAGATTTATTGATGCTTCCTGGATTTCTCTTTTCAAGCTGGAAATGATGAATTCTCTGGAAGGCAGCAAGTTATCCTTAAGTTGAACACTTTATTTCTGGAAAAATGCAAAGATTCAGAGGGAGTCAGGAAGGGGTAGTCAAAGATTCCAACTCCAAAGCAAGAGAATGTCCTTAACTTTAAATATCTGCTTTTATTTACCTTTGCTGATCTCTTTGGGAACACACTCAGGTCTGAAGGTATGAATGGGGACATTTCCCCATACCAGTGCCAAGCTGCTTTGCAGGAATGAGAGTCCAGACAATATCTAAACAGAGAAAGTCACTGAGTTTGGAAGCATCTAGGATAGAAGTTATTTTATCAACACATGTCTCATGACTGTAACTCCCTATAGAATGTAGCTGTGGCACCTGGCTCTACTTAGAATTTGCATGGAAGCTATCTATACATCTTTTCAAAGTAAATAATCTGCCTGGGTTGGATAACAGGGGTTAGGAGGATGACAAATTGGGTTAATAAAATGTCAGCAAGAGCCAGGTTTTAAGTCTGGAATGAATCACAAGTGAAACAAGTTTAGTGGCCAGGGTTCACCCTTGATCTTGAATTGCTATTTGCCCACATCACTGAGTAACCACAAGTCATCCGGTGTAATTCAGCACAACTGACAATCCAGCACTGGCAATATTGTCTGGGTGGAGAGGGGAGAAAGATGTTACTGCCTAGTTAGCCATGGCAGTTAATGAGAAGCACTGAAAAAACAGTATGCCATAGAGATGGCATTAGACCTCCACGTCTCTGCTGAAAAGCAGCATCTCCAGCACACCCCATGTCCTGTGCTGTTCCTGAAGCTTTCAATGTGCCTCTCTTCTGCTCCCCAGAATGAAGCAAGTGCTTTCATGGCTCACCCTTTAGGCTAGTCTGGGTGGAGAATGTTTGTAGTGGTTTAGTATGCTCATCGGGATGAACTGAGCATCATTGATATTCTGGGAGTCAGAAGGCTAGAAGGGAAAGAAACGGCGTCAGTCAGTATCAAGGTACACCAGAGAAGAGATGTGGAGACTTGGGGAGCTATACTGCAGGTGGGATAATAGAACTGCATGAAAGAGTTCTGAAAATAACTGTTGGTTGTTGCTTTTTGTTGGTTTATTTTTCCCATTTCCATAAGCAACTACTCACTGATAAGCAAATATTATGATTGGAGCCACACTGGAAATGACAAAGAGAATAAAGGATATGTAATGGACATCTAATCTTTGGGTCTGAGAGCTACTAAATGTATGGTAATGCCAAAACAGTAAATAACTGAGTTATTAACATATTCTACAATTAGATCAAGCAAAACAAGCATTCACTAATACTGAGACATTTCCTGGCAGCAAGGAGAGATTACTCAAAAGATTTGAACAAGTGTTATGTATGAAAGCATGACTGCCAGGCTGGAAAGCCAATTTTGAAAAGCATGAAGACTTTGTCCCACAAACTACCTTGCTTTCCTTGATTAGGATCAGCTTCAGGAAGAGCCTTACCATGGATGCTGGCAGAACCAGACAGTGAAAAGAACAAACTTTACCTAATGCCAAATCTTCCAGCTGCAACTTTGACAGAAGGACTTGCTCTGCAAGTCTGTGTTTCAGAAACTCAACACAGAGTTAAACAAATGGCAAAGCAGTGGGAAGTCTGATATGTGGCAATTCAAATATATTAGACCAAACAACTAAAAAAATAACCCTGTATTATTTGTAGCAGCTTATTGACCATGATAAGTTTTGATCCAAGTGTATTTCTGAGTGTGGAAGAAGTGAATAATTAAGTGACACAGTCACAGCTCCTGTGTTTCTTCTCTAGTCCTAAAAATAGGCATGGAAAATCTGAAATAGAAATCTGTATTTTTCTTTATTATTGGAAATGGGGAGATAGAAAACACACTTTCAAATCCTGGGATCTGCCACCCCCTCAGAGCTTTCCCCTCTCAGCTGTGCTGCAGGGTATGTGGCTGTTCCAGGCTTTCTGTCTGCCTCCTGCAGCCCCTCCAGGTGTCAGCCTTGCACTTTGCATGACACTTTCTTCCCTTAGCCATATCTGGAATGAAGCACTGGGTTCAGTGGAGATTCCTGACAAGAGAGCATCAGAGATCTTAAAATACAGAATGTATTCCCTAATTTCATTTCAGAAAAAAATGCTGAATTATCAGACTGCCACGAGGCCTCCCTCAGAATGGTCAAACTGATGCCATGGTGTATGGGAGGGGATCTAAATGGATCCATTAGCTTTCAGCAGGATCTGCCAATAAAACTGTGAACATTTGCCAGCCCAGAAATGGTCCAGGAGCCAGGACTTTCACTTGGATTTTCTTTTTTTTAGGATGTAATTGACATGACTGCCCTCTCCTTGGCCTTAATCCCTAACTACTTCCCAAGATCCTAAAAGCTTTTGCTCTCCTCTGCACTCTTGCACATAAATCAGGACTACACTGAGATTTTCTCACTGGATCTCATCATGGTAAAGCCACTGGAAACTTGAATGCAGGAAAGCATATGCAGGCCCACAACAACATCTGACCCTGCTCTGACTTCAGGGTTAAGACTGCTGGCAGTGATGGTTTTTGGTTAAGGACGAGCACTGTTGGAAAGACAGCAAAGAAAGATAAATGGGCCTGGTCAGACACTCCTATACCTAGACTGCACAGACAGCCTGGATGTCAGCAGTAGGATTCCCCTTAGGACGTTGCTGTAATTTATGATATGGCTCAGAATTACTACAATACTTCAGCAGGTCAAATTTCAGAGGTATACTTAAAACTACATGCATGAGTAATAATGCATGAAACTGTGAAAACAGAAATCCATCCTTTGAACAGAGAAGGAAGGGGGTTGTGTCAAGCCTAAGTGGTGTGGGAAGTTTGCAAAAATACAATGTTTGTTTCATATTTAAGTGTCTTTCAGTTCCACAAGTAGAAATTAGAGGCATGGCAGAGTCTTGATGTCATAGGTTTTGAGATGACATCCACGGATGAGAAACTGTGTTGAATTCAGGGTTTAATTCTTGTAGTGTAACCACAGAAGAGCTGCTTGGTGGCAGCAATTTTCAGTAACCACTGAGCTGGGAGGACTTCAAATATAGACTGTGATGGATCCAAAGGTCTGTATACATTAACTGTCATAGGACAACTTGCAAACATGATAATGAATGTAGTTTTCACAAGGTCTTTCAAAAAGTCTGAGCGTTTCAAAATTTTTATGGTTGTTAGGAGCAAGTTTGTCATGACAGCACAATTCTGGGTGTCAGGTGTCACTAAGATTTTTCACTATGTGCTTGCAGAATGACCTTGGGGAGCCTGGCTTATCCTAATACCTCAATTTTCCAAACAGTTACGTGTAACATTACTGGCCAGAACTGGATGAATTAATTGCATTATAAATTAAATTATATATATATATGTATATATATAAAATAAAAAGAATACATGTAAAAATTCAGAAAGAGAAGGATAGTAGATCACCTCTGGCAGTTTCAACTACACAAAAAATCCATTCGGTCACGCTTGGTTGATCGGTAGCTCTTGCCACCCTCATCAAGGATGACTTTCACTTCCACGAACCTTAGTTCTCCCCTTTCTGTGGATGTCAACAATTTCTCATGTAAAGGTCTTGCTCCTCTTTCAAAATTACCTGTATTAAGGCAAATTATGTGTTCCCTTCCTTTCCTTGAAAGTCATTTACATGAGGAATCACAGATCTGAGATTATAGATACTGGGGCAGGGAATGCAGAAATACAGCTAAGGTTGGAAATCTGGGTGGGCCTCAATTTATAGTGGACAGCCAAAGAACAAAGGTCTGATGTCATCGTAAATCATTTATATTGCGAATGATTTAAAATAATGAAAACCCATATGCATTAAATTTTGACCTGTACATCCATTTTGAGATATTTTAAGTAGACAATAGATAGATTTTACATAAATCTTCGGTAAATGTATTTCAAAGAAATATCACCAGGCAGTAAAGCCTAAGTATTTTAAAAACAGTCTCTGTCTTATCCTTCAGCTCTTGCTTCAATACGCATGGTTCAAAACCAGCAAAGACTGTCTGCCTTGTCCTCAAGAGAAAAGCAGAAAAGATAAAAACATAGAAGGGGAACTAGACAAAACAGCTTGTGAACAGATCCTGGCAAAGCTGTCCTTCACACTATTCCAGGTGTTACAGGAATACTTAGTACACCTTACCTAAGCTACATGTGGATTTTGAAGGAATCTATTTCCAACCCCCTGTGTAAATTCCAGTATTTGTATTCAGTATTTAGAACCTGTCACACAGCAACACATGCTATTTTATGAACCAGTTCCCAGTCTGTGGGTTTCATCCTTTGGTTTATGCCAACCTATGCTGATGGAAGTTCATGCTCTTCCATGCTAGGAGTTACTATAGAATCTAGCCAAAAAGACTCTGAATCCCAGCTCCAGTACACTGCACAAAGCATCAAATTCCTTTGGAAGATGCCTGGCACATCAGCACTGGGAACTGAGCTCTGGGAACTGACTAGATACCTCTGTGAATCACAGGGAGAAATTCTTCCCAGTCTCTGCTATTGGATGCTCTAAAAAGGCAAGGGACATGACTTGAAGATGGCTTGATCTCACTCTGCCAAACAAAACAGAGCAAAGTGAATTTTGCATTCCCCGTGCAAGATGAAAATGTTTGACCACTCCCACAGGTACCACTCAAACAAGAGGGTGGAGATGGGCAGATAATCCCCACTGTTCTGAACTGTTCACAGCTCGCAAAGGTAGGAGCCTGCAGGCCAATGCCAGCACTGGCTTTGGAGCTCAGAAGGGCCTTTTTGTCACCATTTGGGTTTCCAGTAACTGCAGAAGATACTTAGTTCCTACCAGAGCTCTCAACCAGGCTAGTCCTTTTATGTGCTGGGGCTGGGTTTGCTGAGTAGCAGCCATGATACCACCACACCTGGCTAGCGAGCTCTGGAGTTCCAGTGACATGGACTCCAACTAGCCTCACCCAATAGCTACTAGGGCTGGAAGGACTCAGACTTAGCCACTGAGCTCTTCTGGAACTTTAGACGAGCCAAACCTATAAAAAAATCTGAGTTTCATTGTGTTTGCTGAGAGATTAAAAAACACATCACCTCTTCTAATCAGTTTGGAAGACTTAAGTAAATAAGGATATGAACCAAAAGGAAAGCAAAAACTTCCTCTTTATGAAACAGGACTAAACTATCTCAGGTGGATTAGAAATGAGATAATTGGAATAATCGTTTCATAGGATCATGGTAAAGTTGCCTAAAATATTTCAGGCACTAAAGTGAAGCTTTAAGTGTTGTTTTAACAAAGAGAATTAGGAAGAGTGTAAGTACCATGGACTAAGTGATCTTTCCAGATACTTTATGTGGGTGCAAGCTACTTATTCTGTTTCAGGGAAACTTTAGTAATTGTTTTAGACTGCGGGGCATGCGTAAGTTTTTATATTGTTAACTTGCTTGTGAGTGGAAAGCACTAATCATGGCAGATATTTATGGAGAAACTGTTCATTCTCCTTATATTCCTGCATTACTCTGAGACACTTGATGTTGTGGGGGAAAATAAAGACTTCCAGCAAGTAAAGAAGAAAGGTTGGATTTATTAACTAATGACAAAATCAGGCTGTCTACAATCTGATTACACTGATACACCATTATTTGTTAAATTCTCCTGTCTTTTACTGCTCTGTGATTAGAAATAGGCCTAGGCTCTTAACATTTTTCAGTACCCACAGTTGCGTAGGGTTTTTTTGTATCAAGAGCTTATATTTAGGTGCCTATTGATGTTGTTTTTCAACCCAAGTGCTTTTGGGAGGGTGAACAGCTGATCATTACACTGAGTTTGCTTGCACCCATGAGCACACTTAACCTAGAGCAGCAAATAGTTATTGTATTGCATTTTGTTTTGTGCCTGTGGGCACACTTAAGTCAATATACATGATGGCTAGTACCACATATTGTATTTGTCTGCACCCATGGGCCCTTGGAATCGCCAGTGGGAGGGAATTGGTGAATTAACTAGTGGTATGCCCACTGGTGTACTTACTTCAAGAGCAATGCTATTATTAATTGCTTAACTTAAACCTAATCATAATGCAAAATAACAGAACAACAAAAGTGCTGCAAGAATCCTGATTCACACAGAAAGGGGATAGTAACATCTGCTTAATTCTAAGCTTGTTTGTTGCCAAAACTGAGGAAGAAGTTTTTGGGGCAGAAGTCTCTTATGGCTAATTGTCCTTCTTTTCCTCCCTGTTTTACAGCCAGCACAGAGCTCCCTGTTCTTGTCAAGCTTTTACCTGCATGAAATCTAGTCCAAGGCTGGTGCTTACTCTGCTCATTAGTGAAATTACAACCAGATGCTGTGTGAGATGGAGGTTGCTCTGGCTCAGCACAACAGCTTCTTCAACAGTGCTACTGCTAAACTCTGAGTGGAAATGGTGCAGCAGGTAATGCTGACACACTGCAAATACCATTCCATCCTCACAGCATGTTCAAATGATACTGGCTGTCTCCACGCTGACTTAGCAACACCACAAGTGGCTTTGGGATTGTACACTGTGGATCACCAAAAAATGTAGGCATTTCAGGAGCATTACCTTCTCTTGTTAGCCTGCATCTCGTCAGGTCCTCTTTTCAACTATGCTAAAAAATTGTAATTCAGTAGTAAGACTGAGTCTCAAGTCACACTGGCATAGATGAGCTGAGCTTCAGTGGTGCTGGAAGCCAATTTTTGCACTTGAAGAAATCTAAAGTGGGAGTCTTAAATACTCTCAGCAGAAGCCATTAATGCAGGGTATTGGATTAACCTTTTCTAGCAGTAGAGTCATCTGTCCTTACAAATAGCCCTTTATTTTTATGGGTTTTTGGGGGGTTTGTTTGTTTTAGGTTTTTTTGGTTGGCTGGTTGGTTTTTTGATTTTTATTTTTTTGGAGACCAGTGCAAAGAAGATCAAGCTAGAAGGATACCGGGTACACAGATTGGATGAGTGCCACAAAGGAGAAGATGAGGGGAGAAAAAGGTGGTAAAATTATTTTCCTAATAATAATATGGTACAGTCCACAGGTTAAGCTGCTGAACTGGTTAGAGAAAGCTCTGCAGTGCACTATTTTCTATGCACTTTTGCTATGATGATAGCAGGCAGGACTTCACAGCTCTGCTAATGCCAACTGTGTGTGGCTTCTTGTTCATATAGATCTTGTAATAAATACCGATTGCGTTACAGATGTCTCTGGTGTGACTCCTGGCTAATATGACTGACACACCAGACAAGTCCATCAGTAAAGCACCAGAATAAAGTAAGATGGAGATGTGGAATGGCAATCATCCAAATGGAAAATGACAGATTAAAACCATAGATCAGTTATTAATGTATAGCTTTTTAGTATTATCACTGCAAAGAAAAAAGAATAAAAATTGAGTGTTTACCTAGAGGGTGATGCTACTGAAAGCAGACGGTTAACCTTATAAAAGAGACAAGACCAAATGGAAAATATCATGTTCCTGCCACTAGCACTTTTTTTCCTCCATGTGGTCCTCTTGCTCACAGCCTTGTCCTTCCTGTGATGCAGCTCAAGAAAACCTGTGTGGATGAGCTCTTCTGAACTTTTTTTTTTGAGAGGCAGAAAAGTGGCAGTAAGAACATGAGTGTTCCTTAGCCATAATGGCTTTGGAGTTCAGAAGTTTATAATTATGTATAATGAGATATAACCATTAACTCTATCAATTAAGTAAGGGGAAATTGGGTTTAGAGAAGCTTAAGCTATGTTGTAGCAAACACTGGGTATTAAAGGACAGGGCTAGAATTACTAGCTTTTCTAATTTCTAGCAGTCCTGCAAAATTGTTTCATACAAGCTCAGCGAGCAGGGCAGTAAGTGGGGGAGAGGCACAAAAAACCCCCAGACACCCTGAGGAATTAATGAAGGCATTGATTCTGAGCAATGAACCAGTTGTTGGGGACAGCATCAGACTAGACAAGTACGAGATACAGAAATGAGTGACCATGAAACTCTGCATTAGTCAGCCTGGTTAATCTAGTTCTTCCCAAGAAAAAGAGAATACCTGCATAAGATCTGCAGAGGCATGTTGGATCAATTCTTCCTACCCAGTGCAGACTGATGCTGTTCAAGTGCCAAGATGTCTCAGCCAGTATTGCTCACATGCCTCTGTTGGCAAGAGGGTTTTTGTCCTTTTCCAACTTACAGAGAACGTTCAACACCAGCACTGCCAAGGTGCTGCTGATAACAAATGACTGCATCTCTAATGTTTCCATCCTCTTCTGTCCAGTTTTGTGATAAAGGGATCTTCAAGTATACGTGGAGTCTCCTCCTGCACAACTGGAAGAGCCCTGGGGACACTTCAGATGATCCACAGCAAAGTTCTCTCCAGGGGTGGAGACCCCTCATCTTCCCTGGAAACACAGCTCCACTACTCAGGCCTTGTTAGAAAAGTCTTTGGGGACTGTGATTGGTTTGTTTTTAGCCTTAAGCTATTGAAGGGGTTTTTGGTTATTTTTTGTTTGGCTGGTTTTTGGGGGGTTTTTTGCTTGTTTTATTTAGTTAGTTTTTGCTGTTGTTTTTTTCCAGAAATCACAGAATCTTCTGAGTGGGAGGGGAGTCATAGTATCATCCAGTCCAAATCCTGCACAGCACACCCCAACAATCCCACCCTGTCCCTGAGAGCCTTGTCTAAACACTCCTTGAGCTCTAGCAGCCTTGGTACCGTGACCACTGCCCTGGGAGCCTGTTTAGTGCCCAACCATCCTCCGGGGGAAGCATCTTTTCCTTATGTATTTGCCTAAATCTCCCCTGACACACCTCCAGCCGTTCCCTCGGGTCCTGTCACTGGTCGCAGAGAGCAGATATCGGAGCTACCCCTCCGCTTCCCCTCACGAGGAAGTTGTAGGATGCGATGAGGTTTCCCCTCGTTCTTCTCCATGCTGAACACGCCAGATGACCAAGTTTGGGTTTTGGTGTTCTGGTTTTCCGTTTTTTGTTTTTTTTTTTTTAAATGAGGTGCACTTGTTCTTTCTGGTAGCGGAGAAGGGAGAGAGGCATCGCGGAGCTTTGGCAAGGCTGTCTTTAACGGCTGCTCCGGGCGAGGTACTCCGGGCGCGCCCCGGGGTAAATTTCGATGTCGGAGCTCTTCCGTTACCGCCCTCACGGACAGGTCCCGGACGGCGCCGGCTCCGGGCAGCTCCCGCGGTCGCGCAGGCGCGGACAGGGCCGCACCATCGGCCCCGCTCTTGGGGGAGCGCGGCTCGGATCGCCGCCGTCGCCGCCGGTTCCGAGAAAGCCGCCCGACCTCCGGCTGCGAGGAGGCGGCCGGCGCTGGGGCACGGCCGGGGCTCCACGCTCTCCCGCCTACCGAGCGCCCCGCCGCAGTACGCCCCCCCTCGGCCGCCTGGAATGGTTCGGCCCGCGGCCCGGCCCGGCCTCTGAGGGGCCGCGGCCGCCATTTTGTGCGGCGGCGGGTAGAGCGCGGTGGAGGAGTTGTCGAGGGGTTCTTGGGACGTCGCTCCCTTTCCTGGCCGGTGAGCGGGGCGCGGGGACGGGTGGGGCCCGGCCCGGCTGCCCGCGGTGCTGAGGCGGGTGGAGCCGCATTCGGAGGTCTCGGGCGGACCCGGCAGGCGGCGAGGCCGAGGGGGGCTGTGCTCCCGGCTCCGCGAGAGGAGCCTGTGGCGCTCCTGAGAATTTCCGCCGTGCTCGGGGACCGGTCGGTGTTGGTACCTCCATAGCTCCAGGACGGACCGAGGTGTACGGCAGGGCCGGAGGCTTTAAGGTTTATGAATGGCCCCTCTTGTGTAATAAATACAGAGATACCCGTGCCTCAGGGCGAAGAAGATGAAAGCTAAGTCAGGGGGTATAGGGTGATCGCTTACGCCTGCTCTATCCGTTTTGTACTTCAGTAACTTCCAGCGAAGATGTCGGAGTATATCCGGGTGACGGAGGACGAGAACGATGAGCCCATCGAAATCCCATCGGAGGACGACGGCACGGTTCTGTTGTCCACGGTGACGGCGCAGTTCCCCGGGGCGTGCGGGCTGCGTTACCGGAACCCGGTGTCGCAGTGCATGCGGGGAGTCCGGCTGGTCGAGGGCATCCTGCACGCCCCCGAGGCCGGCTGGGGAAACCTAGTCTACGTCGTGAATTACCCCAAAGGTTTGTCCTCGTGGCTTCGGTTCTCTGTACAAGGCTGTTTTCTTTAAGGTCCTAGTCGCTGCTGACCTAACATGGCAACACTGTTACTCTAACTCTCGGATTCACAAGAGATTACTGGTTTATTCAGGTGTCTGTTTTGCCCAGTTGGTTTGACCCCATTGAGATTATAATTTTTTTAGTATGACCCAAACGAGTACTTCAATGACAAAGTCTTGTGTTATCCTTGAAGGATAGCCTCATATAGGCCTTGAAAGACTATAGTGTACTGTAATCTCTCTGTAGTCACAGACACTTCTCAAGGCATGGGTTGGTCAGAGGTACCATTTGGAAGTGCTCAGGAAAGGAGAAACCTGGCCACTCTGCTCCACCTCCAAAAAAAAAAAAAGAGGGGAAGGAAGTGAATTGCTAGTGAAGTAATCTTGTTAAAAATTCATCTTTTCTCCACATTATAGGACTCTGGATGTTGCTGGATAATACTTAAATAAACTAATGCAGAACTAACTGGGTCAAATTGCATTTTGGAGGAGGACTCTATTGTGGACTGGCTTTGGTTCAGGGCAGTCAGATATATGTTCCAGTCAGCTCTCAACAGCTGGTGTGTGTCTCTTGCAATCTGTACTTTCTCATCATGGGTTATAATTTAATACCATGAAGTTCATAGTCAGTGGGTCAATTTCCAGAGCTCAGGATGTCTAATGTGCTTTTTTATATTCAGATAATAAGAGAAAAATGGATGAAACCGATGCGTCATCAGCTGTGAAAGTGAAGCGAGCAGTACAGAAGACTTCAGATTTAATAGTCCTGGGTCTTCCCTGGAAAACCACTGAACAAGACTTAAAGGAATATTTCAGTACCTTTGGAGAAGTTCTGATGGTGCAGGTAAAATCCATTTGCAGCTCAAGTAGGGAGGGACATTGAGTAGATATCAGGCTTCTGAGAAAGCGAGTAGAAACAAAGGAGCTTTATAAACTTGGACAAGATCAGAAGCTGTGTCTCTTCCTAAGGGTGTCTTTTTTTTCAATGAGCCTGTTAATTTTGGGAGAAGATGTTAAGGAATTAGAGGTTGCTGTGATAAGAATGGTTATAAGACTGATGAACTCTCGAACAGATTTTTACCAAATTCATTCAGTAACAACACTCTTTATACTAGTGGTTACTTCTGGGTTTTGGGTTTTTTTTCCACCTAGGTTAAGAAGGATATTAAAACCGGCCATTCAAAAGGTTTTGGGTTTGTTCGGTTCACGGATTATGAAACCCAAGTGAAAGTAATGTCTCAGCGGCACATGATCGATGGAAGATGGTGTGACTGTAAACTTCCCAACTCTAAGGTACTTTGGGATTTACTGCTGGTTTTACTTGTAACAAACACTCCCAAGTGCACCTCTTTGTCAGCTGTGTTAGGGCAGAGCAGCTGCCCTAGAGAGCACAGATTTAACTGTCCACTCTGGGATGTGGCTTTACTGGGAATGAGCAGAACAAGTGAGAGTAAGGAAGTAAAACGGGAGAGGTGGGTGAGCTGGAAGTAATTGAAACGTTGGGAAAATAGCTCATTATGTGAGGGAATGAAATACAGATAGAAATCTGTGTTTGATGTCCAGCAGTACCTGCCTGACTTGCCTATTGCATGAATAAATGCGGAATAAAGCAGATGGAATAACTAATTTGGGGAAGAGCAGAACAAGTCTTTGAGTTCCAAACTGAACTTGTAGCTTCTATACTTGTCTGTGTATGCAATTATTACAAAAAAGTGTTCTTCTGCAGTGTCCTTGTCGCCATCCCTATGTGTTGCTCCTGTGCTCATTTTCTTGTGGCTCTTCTTCCCCACCTGTACCAAGGTGCAGCTATGTTCTTGGAATAGAATTTTTTTAAAATTTATTTATTTTAAGTCTTAAATTTGCAATCTCAAAGATTTTTCCATCAGCACCCTTCAGAACAGGCTAGATTATAAGAGTGTCATTTACCTTGAGAACCCAGTTCTCAAGGACTATAGTTGTGATAGGTTTTTCTTTCAATTCTCCCCAGCAAAGTCCGGATGAACCTTTGCGCAGCAGGAAGGTGTTTGTTGGACGCTGCACTGAGGACATGACGGCAGATGAACTCCGACAGTTCTTTGCCCAGTATGGGGAAGTGGTAGATGTCTTCATTCCTAAACCCTTCCGAGCTTTTGCTTTTGTTACATTTGCAGATGATCAGGTAAGTCTTAAAATATTTTAACTTCATAGACTACATTTTTAGTAGCATGATAAATAGTAGCATCATTTCTGGAACTATACATGAAATGCTTACTTGTCCGCTGTCTTGAGAATTAGAGTGATGTCAGGTTGATCTGATTTATTGAACAGACTGAGATTACGCTTTTAGATGCAACTGTGCAGACAGGCGTTTGTAACCAGCAGTTAGTGTAGTGATGATTGCAAAACTAAATCACTTCAAATTGAATTCAGTACATGCATATGTTTTCTTTGCAGGATAAATATCTACCCAGAATCGTAGGGGATGTTTTGTGTTTTGCCTTGTACTAATAACATTTTTGAAAAAAAAGGGCATCTAACATACATTTAATCAATCCCTTATTTCTTATAGGTTGCCCAGTCTCTTTGTGGAGAGGACTTGATCATTAAAGGAATCAGCGTACATATATCCAATGCTGAACCTAAGCACAATAGCAGTAGACAACTAGAGAGAGGTGGAAGATTTGGTGGTAACCCGGGAGGCTTTGGGAATCAGGGTGGGTTTGGTAACAGCAGAGGAGGTGGGGGAGGACTGGGCAACAACCAGGGCAGCAATATGGGCGGGGGTATGAACTTTGGGGCCTTTAGCATCAACCCTGCCATGATGGCAGCGGCTCAGGCGGCCCTGCAGAGCAGCTGGGGGATGATGGGCATGCTGGCCAGCCAGCAGAACCAGTCTGGGCCCTCGGGAAACAACCAGCCTCAAGGCAACATGCAGCGGGAACAGAACCAGGGTTTTAGTTCAGGCAACAACTCGTACGGAGGGTCCAACTCGGGGGCAGCGATAGGCTGGGGCTCGGCCTCAAACACAGGCTCCAGCAGTGGGTTTAATGGAGGCTTTGGTTCAAGCATGGATTCTAAGTCATCAGGCTGGGGAATGTAGACGCAGTGGGCTCTGATAGTGACTATGGTGGGAAATCAAATTTTTCTAACTCATGGTAAGTATACTGTAAATTACGTATATACTAAAGTTTTCCAAATGAATTTGTTCAGTGTGCAGTATATTCAGCAGTATTTTTGACATTTTTCTTTTCTAAAAAAAAAAAAAAAAAAAAAAAAAAAAGAAAAAGAAAAGAAAGGTAAAAGGAATTTTCTAAGTTTTGTTACATATCTAGTTGGAATTCTGAATGCTTGGAAGTGGACTGCTGTTTGCCTGATAGGTGAACTAACACTACAGTCGATAGGAAAGGCTTCTCCTGTAATTCTTTATCCCTTGTTTCTTGGCTACCTGAATTCTTTGCATGTTCAAAATGGAACCATTGGTCAGAAACAGCATTCTCCCTCTTGTTTTTAATTTGATCCCACCATAAGACTCTCCAAGCGCCCCGTTGGACAACACAGTGTCGTTTTTGTTTGTGTTTGTTTTTTTCTTAACACTGTCTCCCCTCCATACTAAAGTATGATATGAAGGCTTCATTTAATCTCTGCAGTTCATCTCATTTCAAATGTGTATAGAAGAAGCACTTCATTGAAAGCAGTGCTGTAAATATTCTGCCTTAGGAATACTTCTGTCTACATGCTTTCTCATCCAAGAATACTTCATCACACCGCGCATGCTGCGTCTTAGACGGTGGGTGTTCCATTTTTATCCGCTACTCTTTATTTCATGGAGTCGTATCAACGCTGTGAACGCAAGGCTGTGAGATGGAACCAGAAGGCTGTTTGAACTTTTGAAACCATGTGTGGGATTGGTGGTGGTGCCGAGGCATGAGAGGGCTGGTATGTGCGAGATAAAGGAGCGAGCGCATGCAGAGACCTGGTGGTGCATTAATGGGATTTTATTTGACTTGGCGAGATGTCTCTCAATCCTGTGGCTTTGGTGAGAGAGTGTGCGGAGAGCAATGATAGCAGATAACGTACGAGTGTTTATTGCATTCAAAGGACATCCACATGTGGAAGACTTTAAGTGGGCTCTCTACTTAGTTAATCAATTAGTTGAATGTGTTACGTGAAATGGAATATTTGTATTTCTTTTCCCTTATGTCAACTGCTGTGAATGCTGTATGGTGTGTGGTTTTTTTTCTGTTAATGATCTGTAAGTGTGGTAATGTGACTTGAAGACGCTGGGGGTTTGTGATGAGAACATTGAGCTTGTGGTGTGCTTTGTAATAGCTCTTTTAGCAGAGATCACTAGAGCTCAGTGTGCCTCTCCAGGGTGGAAGTTCCACTGTCTGTAAGATACCCATAAGAATGCTGTTTGCTGCAGTTTCGTGTTTGGATGCTTTTTATAAGATTTGTCACTGTAGGAAATTCTTAAATAAAACTGATTTAAGTAATATGTGTCTTTGTTTTGCAGCCCTGAATGCAAAGAATTCATAGCAGTTAATTAATTTTACCCTTTTGCGATGAACTTCTGTAAAGCTTTTTGCAGCCACTCGGTTTGTTTCAGATAAGCAGGTTCTAAAGGAGCCACCGCTCAGCACGTATCGATCCCCGACACCCACCTCTAAGCCACTGTACCCTTGCACTGTGCAGTGACATAGATCTAAAATCCAGGTCCCACATCTTGGGGTGCCCGCACCTAGACTGGTAAGCAGTTCCCTCCAGATTTCATCTGTGCCAAGGAACATTACTTGTTCTTTTAGCAGTTGAAGTTCCTTATCAGAAGTGGGTTGGGGGAAACAGAACTGGTGTCGTGATGGATTTCTGTCCACAGCATCTCCTTTGGGGATGAATGTTTTTAACTCGTTTTTAGATCAGCCCACTCATGGGAAACAGGGTTCTGCCACACTTCCAGCCCAGAAGAATGCTGTTAACTCCTGTTAAAACTAGTCACAGGAAAGACTTTCCAGATGAATAAAGCTTTATTAAATATTCAGAGACTGATAAAAGTTTGAACTAAGTTATGACAGCTGCAGATGTAGGAGGCAGCTTCTTAACAAAGTACACGGTGTTAGAGCAGAAGTTAGTGGATGGTTATTTCCACTTGTGGTACGAGCTTGAGGAATTGTGTTGTGTTCTTGGGGTTGCAACCCAATGAAGCTTCGATCTGTGTTTTTCTATACACCATAATACTGCTGTACCTGTGAGTAGTCTGAATATGGATATTTACACAGTTTTTAACCTATGTAATTTTCAAGTGAAACTTCCTTACTCTGTATCTCACTGAGGCTTGTGAATAGCAAAGCATCTGAACAGCAGACAGCTGCATGACTGAGTTTTCCACCTGCAGAATTTAAAAATCAGTTGTGCTTTAATGTGTTTGGTTTAAAGAGGATTTCTAAACACAGGCTGAGAAAGAAATCCCACACATTTGTTCATATTCCACTGCAAAAGTTGCTTACATTTTTTTTTTTCTGCACCTTAATCAGAATAATCTCCAAACTGTCCCATCTGTGAATTTTGCATTTTAGCACTTGCACTATTACCAGCTACTTCTGCTGAGTAACACTTTAAAATGGTATTCTTGGACCTCCAAAGACTAACTGTGACCCCCGCAAGGAACCTCATGGTAAGTTTTTATAATTAGCATGGTTTTAATTCTGTCTGAATTGTTCAGGTTTAGGTTTAAGAGGCTGGTTGGCAGCACTGAGTAGTCTTTGCTAGTAATTTTAGCCTTCCTTCACCTTCAAACAAAATCTTCTGAAAATATTAGAATTTCAAGTTTCAGTAGCATTTTTAAACTGCTTTGCATACTTTAATGTTTATGAGTGAATAAACTGTCACTGAAAATACACTGAAGTGTTTCGAGTCTTCATTTTTTTTAAAGAGATACTTCATTTTCAGTTACATTACTCTAGAAAGTGAAATGCTAATGAAAGAGTCTGAGATCCAAGAAAAAGGAAGTTTATGTATACTGTAAGGGGGTCGCTATAATAGAAAAAACATGTTTTTTCTAACACTGCTAATCAGTTCCAAGTATCTGTTGTCCACTGTTCTTGGACTGAAACTCTGAATGTGAAAGCTTGTTCTTCAGAAAACTGCTCAGGGAAATACAATTTTTACAGCTGAGAGCAGGAACCTCTCAGGCATGGGCAGTGCAGCAGTAACCTGTAGGGGCACAGGGACAACAGGGCTGGTAAATGCCCCCACATACACCAAAGAGCTGGTACCACATCTCTGAGCGGTGGGTGAAGGGATGTCGGCGCTCTGCAGGCATCAGACCTGTGTTCAGTCAGAAGCTGCAGTCAAACAAGAACTCACAGCACTATTTATAAGAAAACAAAATCCACTTCATGAAGAAATGAATAAAGCATGCTGTAGGCAGATGACAGCTTTGTACTGCTGAAGGACTTGTGACAGCTGCTGGGACATTTCTTCCCTACCCTATCATCTGCATTCAATCTCCCTGGTAAGCAGGTACATGTAAGATTAATACTATTGAGTTCTGCTTCAGTGTCACCATATACACTTATATGTATATAATACCATTAACAAAGGGTACAAGATAATTTTTACGACCTTCATGAGTTAAATTTCCTCCCTGGCCACCTTCACAGTGTTTTCTCAAAATTCCCAATTTACTCCTCAAAGCTGTGGGTGTTTTTTGATCAGGTATATGGTAAGCAGCTGTTAGAACCCCACTGTCATGCACAGTTGAGCCACCTTCTAACTCTCCTTGCCCTGTAGTTAACACCACTTACCAGGGCAGCTGTCCAGGCTCATCTTCCTCCACGAACTCACTCCACAAAGTGTAAAACAACACTGGCAGCAAAAGCTGTTGAACAATTTGAGATCTAAGTACTGAATTATTGTGCTTCTATGGATTAAATTAAGTTAATGATTCTAAATGTAATTCCTGGATTCTTTTGGAATGGTAAAATTGCTTGCAAATGAGTATTTGATTTAGAATACAATTTTCATTAGTATTGCATCCCTTGGAAAAGTTCTGTAATCAAGAGAGACAGCATTGATGAGGAATTTGGGCAGAGAGGAGGAAGTGCATTTGTTCTGAATGTAAATTAAAGTAATTGGAATATATGGATATTCTAATCTAAAAGATAAGAGGGACAGTTATGCTATTACATTATACAATGTTTCTCCCAAAACTCAGTCTTGGATCTTGACCAATTTTATGGAGTAATTAATTTAGCAGTTCAGGCATTAAAAAAACAAATAAAATCCACAACCCTCAGCAGTGGGGGATTCTTTTCCCCTCACAAATACTGCTATAGCATGGTTCAATCTTCCTCTCAGAAACAATGCCAATCGGTTTAAAAGCAACAATTCAGTTAATTATGAAACTGTATTCTCCAAGGAGAGCTGGAATACAGGAATATATTTACTGTCTTTTTACTCTCCTCACGGAGAACTGAATTGAGTTCTCGGCATTACTCTGCAATAGGGAGCCTCAGGCATGACCAAGGCATTTTCAATAGTAGATGATTTAACAAATCTAAGGTCAATAATAGAAACTACAGTCACACTGTGGTGTTATAACATTATCAGTTTTGTTAGCATTCTATCCTGTAAAACAGCACCTGTAGCACTTGCCATTCTGAAAATCGGCATAATATAAAGGTAGAAATTGATTGCTAAAATAAATGAACATTCTGCATTTCACATTCTGTGAAACAGTTCTGCTTCACGAGCTTAAAGGTGCTCCAGGAAAATCTAAGAAAGCCACAGGGCAGTACCTCCTCCATTACATAAACAGTGGAGTAGCCAAGCTGGGTAACTTGCCTGCACAAACATGTCACTGTAGGCTTGGTACGAGGCACAGGCTGGAATTTTTCCAGTATCCATCATCACATATGAATCTTTACCTGCATCCCAGAGAACACGAATGAGAAACATCAGTAGAACTGCTGGACATTGTTTAATACAGCAGAGTAGTGACACTCTACAGGCATCATCTGAGACCATATTTTAGGTGTCCTTTGAGTCACTGCAGGCTTCTAAGAAGGTGACTGTGTCACTTTCCCACCTTGTGCTATTCCCAGGAGCTAACCTATTAAATCCATTGATTGACGGGGGAATGGTAAGAAACAATTATAAGAAAGCTGTCAGCTGTAACTGGGTTAAGACTATTTAGCTACCTTTCACATTCTCACATGGCCTTAAATATTGCATATTTAAGTACAGTAAGAATTCATTTGTGTCCAGATGTGCTGGTTGGCTGGGGCATTCCCTCTGCACAGCCCCAGAGCCAAGAACCACATTTCATTCCAGCTTCAGACCTTACCATTATGATTTGCCTTTCTGGGTCAGAACAGGGCTTCATTCACACTGACACTGAATTTCAGCATTGCATTTCCATGCACACCCAGGTGTGCTCCCAGTGTTTGTGTGGAATACATTAAATCTCACATCAGTTCAGTTATTCTGGGTTTCTACATACGCAGTGAATATGTGCATCAATTCAAACAGGCTATAAAGTAACTACCTGAGGTAAGCCTGAGCCTCCCCAAACCACAATTGCCTAGCTGTGATTTTAAAATTTCATAGGCATACACAGACTGGAATATCTTCCAAAACTGCCTGCTGAGAACTTCAGTTCAGTTACTAAGAACTAAGTCTGAAACACAGTATTCAGCAGGAATGTCCATGTATTACTCTTTTAACTTCCCTGGAGAGATCCGTAATGAAAGAACATTAAAAATTCTCACTGCACTGATCTTAGGAAATCTTTTGTAAAATCATTCTTTTCTTCCAACATATTTAGAAGCAAATCTCTAAGTAGCAGCATCCAGGGCATCAGCAAGAGCAGACGTACAGAAAGGCATGCACAGACAGGAACAGTTTTTCGGGGAGCACATCAAAGCACATTTACTGCCGAATTCAGTGCCCCGAACACACCTAATTCCAGTAAGTGAGCAACGGAAATTGGTAACGAGAAAGGGCACCTATGTGTTTAATGCCCTAGAAATGAAGTCGAACAGGGCTGACAGGATTCACCTACGTCGACTAGCCTTACCCTGTCACGAAGGAGCACCGCCCTAATGTGCCGCGCTTGCACCGGTGCGCTCTGACCACGGCGTGGTGCTTCAGGACCGCGCAACAGGCAAACCTGCACGGCTCACAGCGTCCTTCAGGGCGAATTTGTTACTTACTGCTAAAGGCTGTTGTGGGAAATCACGCCTTTTCTCTACACAATTTCACTCGCGCGGACACAATCTACAGTTGCTGAGAATTAAAACAAAAACAGTGACTGACGCCTGATAGTGTTCTCACACCAAAGAGGAGCAGTGACCTGCACACAGCCTGGCTGCAACTCACAGGACCAGCCCAAGACATCTGTTGCCTCGACATATAACTTGTAACTCTTGACAAGTTAGGAAAATTGTTCTATTAAAATAAAATCGTATGCCTGGTTCCAAGCTGGACTGTAAGATCAGCAGGAATTCTGGAGTTCTCTTAAAGTTGTACTTTAGAAGTAAGTAAATTTCCTAGTAGCCACTTAGGAGTAGTACATGTCGTAGGTACACTACCAAAAATACACCCATGAAGCCACTGTTTCACGGTATCATTGTTTGGTTGATATTCAGGCCATTCCAGCATGAAGCTGTGGGAATAGGGCAGAGGTTGTGATGCAATCTGTCGAGTCATCACACATAACTGATTGGTTTCAGTCAATTTTTAAAGCAGAGGGTGTTGGGAGAAAAAACAAAACAAACCTAAAATATAACAGAGAAGTGGACCAGGAAACATACAGAGTGACACAACTCTACATTAACATGGTGAAACATGGGCTGAAGAAGATGCAGTAAAAGAGCTGGGCCTGTCTCATGAAGTCTGTGATGAACTGCAATAAACCTCACCTTACCTTAAGGACAACACAGGGGCACAACACTCCTGTGTGTGTCTTCACATAAAAGGTCTCCATGAATTCCAGCATGATCAGGAAGCTCTTCTACCTGGATACTGTAGCTGCAGGAGCTGAGATAAGGTGTAGGATAGTCAGGGCCAGTGATTTCTCCTATGCTCTCCGTAAAAACCTGACTCTGACAGTGGCCTGGGTAAAAGCCTTCAACCAAACAGCAGGAAATTATGACCATTGGTGTATTAACTGAGTTTGGATGCACTGGGTAAAGGTAGTGGATCGTTTTCTACACTTGTCTATGCCTTCATGAAAGTTCTGGAGCCACATATGTACCTGTCTCTCTTCCTCTCTCACAGGGGGCCTAGGGCACCAGCACTACCCAGCACTCCTGCTTCAGGTGAGGGACAGGGAAGGACACTGGGAAAGTACCGCTGATGCAGCTGCAGGGCTGGACAGCAGAAATAAGTGTGAAAACTGGAAGCTCTTCAGAAACATTCCAAGGTATTAGATTTGCATCTTGTCTGCTGCCCCAGAGTGTGTGGAATGGTAAGATAGATATCAGCTCCTCAATTCCAGAAGCCTCTGAATGCAGCCCTTTCTTTTTAATGCCTGTTTTGCCAGGCATTTAGAATGTAATTGTATCCTTCCAGCAAAACCAGCTGTGCCTCTTGCTGACACAACTGGAGCCACAAATGCTCCCCTCTGAAAAGAAGCAAGAAGGAACAGCCACAACTGCCCGGAGGACCTCTGCTTGTTGACAGCATCTGATCACTGTGAAGTGGTGCTTTGATCAGCTGGGAACAAAGGCTTTATGATGTGCTGCAAAAGCTGTATGAGCAACCCTGTAATTGATGAGGCATGCTGGACTGCCTGATAACACCACAGATTTTTTCACTATTCTGACACTGAATTAATTGCAAGAGGGAAATTGGTTGACTTCAAATTGAATCAAACACACCATGCTAACCTCCATGAGCAAAAATGCCATTATCCAGGCATTAATTACAGATTATCACCTAGAAACAGACCACACAGTTTAAGGTTGCCATTTTAATGGAAGGGAAACAAGTTGTGAATTAGTTAAGGGATGTTACTGTCCCTTAACTAACCATGGACTTTGTAAGCCAAGATTCTAAGCTTTCTTTTACTTCAGAGAGAGAAGCTTGTTTCCGCTATGTCTATGTCAGCCCTACTTGCTACTGCAGGAAATATTTGAGTTGCAAGCATTTACTGGGAAAGGAAAGAAGGAACAGGTAAAAAGGATAATATTTTGTTCTATGTTTGTGTGACTCAGCTCAACTGAAAGATCCCAGTACAAGTCATAACACCTTTGGGCACCAAGTGTTTCTTTAAGTACAAGCTGTAATTTCAGTACAATGTCTCTATGACCATCTTCCCAGAAAGTAATGATCAGCTGCTTTTATTTGACATGAACCTATTCATCACCCCAGTGACTGCACCTCTGTGTGCCCCCCTGAATTCATTCTCATAGGTTTTCAAACACAACTTACATACATTCATATTACTTTAGCAAACACCTAGAACTCTGAGGCTTTGCTCACCAGAACACACTTCAGCCATGAATCCAGGTTCTCAACGGAGAAATGGTCAAAACCGGGATTAAAAGAAATTTAGACCTTTCCAAAGAGTGAATGGGCTCTGAACAGAAAGTTTCAGTCTAGAAGTCTGGGTGCAGACAAGAGCATATCTAAAAGGAGCATTAGGGAACAAAGGTATGGTGTGGTTCTGGTCTTCTTGCTGTTTAGGAACTAAGTAAGGTTAAGCAACAAGAGCTTAAAATTCAAGACTCTTCAGGTAGCTGTGATGCTCAGGGGCCTTTCACAATAGCTTCTCTCTTACCAGTTCCTGCCTGAGCTACCTTCTTTTTTCTCAAGTGACACATGAGAACATGAGAAAATGAATGCCCCAGAGGCTGCATTCAGCTTTCAACTGGCAACAGCCTCTTTATTATCTGCAGCAGGCAAGTCTGAAAGGCAAGGAACCACATGGACAAGTCATGGAGCAAGAGAAGCCTGCAGGCCCTGGGCAGACTGCAACAGGCAAGTCAGGAAGGAAGGAAACCAGCTCTTCCCAGCACATCTGTCTCCATCTCTGCCTAAGTGAGGAGACGCTTAATTATCTCCTGCTGGAAAATAAAGGAGAAAAAGAGCCTGTCAATACCAGCCAGCTCAAACAGGAGCCCAAAAGACACAAGGGAAGCTTTTGCCCTCAGCTCCTGAAGGAGGTCTGCAGAGACCTTTGCCTTGCAGCCCAGTGGCTGAAGCAGCTGCAGTGCTGGTTTTAAGGGCTTTGAAATGGGAACACGTTCCAGCACATCAGCTGCATCATAGCAATTCCCAATGTCTTCACCGTCAAGGTAGCTCAGCCCCTCACAATTGCTGAGCAGCTCCCTCTGCTGGAGCTCTTTCCAAGGAGGGGGCATAAATGTGCACACGTGAATGGTCATTGCAGAGCTGCTCGTCTGCTAGTTCAGTTTTCCATTTTGCACCTTCACATTAAGACTTTACAGCATCAGTAAATCCATATACTTGTGCTAAAAGGCATCACCCTAGGAACAACAGGTTGAATGAACATGTCTGTTCCAATACTCTGGAGGCATGAAGAATTCGAATCTTGAATCAGACCCAGGCAGCCATGGATGGACGGAGTTTGTAATAGTCTGTTGTTGGGAAGGCAAATGCCAAGGCAGCCTTAAGCACTGGAAGTTAGATCCAATTTTGCATTTCAGCATGGGGGAGCTCAAAGAAACTGGCTTGTCGCCCTGAAAACTCAGCTTCTGAGCTTGCTAACGTAGTTTTCTAAAGACTTTCCCAGGACAGTAACTGTAAACATAGATATGTGTACATTCTTTCTGTTACACGTCTTGTGATGGACATCTCTCATGTCCAGTGCAGTGAGAAAGTGTTAACCTGACCATCCAATTCCTGACCGTGGTCAGAAGCCTATAAATCCTGGGAGGAAAAATAAACTTTCTCTTTCTTTCACCACACCTCGACCTGTGTGCGTGTTATCTATTCATCTTCAGCGGTAACACTGGCTTTCACCTATGACAGCATTTATGAGCAGTATTTGTGTTGATTTTTTTCCAGACAGGATTTAGCTCCAGCTGGCAAAGCTGCACCCATAAGGGGTGAACCTCTTACCCCATGTAGGCACATGTTTCACTGCAAAGGGAATCCTGAGATGCTCATTACCATGTTGATCCAGACACCTCACCGCCTGACACCACAGAAGCTTTCCCTAGTTATGAACTGTGGAACAGAGCCAGACAGCAGCCAGTGAGATAGACCTCACACTGTCAGCCCTTCTGATCAAGAGATCCATGCCTGGCCATTTAACGTGTGGATAATGGTATCCGGTGTCAGTGATACATCAACCATGTTCCTTCTTGGCCTGTGTCCTTACAGGGTAGCAATCTAATGATTTCCTCATTAAACTTCACAACTCAATTGGTAGTTTTCCCAACCTATCTACTAACTTGGGTCCAGAATACTCGGGATCTCAGTACCCAGGGAGCAAGATAAATTCAGTTTTACAAGACTGGCTGCACTGGCATACATGAAGGCTTGTCTGTGGAAATGTCTGCGGTGGGAAGTGTGAGACATTACTTGATTTTCCATTCTGCTCACCTAAAGCTGAACAGAGGTGGAAAGAAGTAGCAAAATCCAAGCGGCAGTGCAGCATTTTGCTATGACACAGAAATGTCCCTAACAGCAGCCACTAGCTCACAGCCCCTCTGCAAAGCAGGACCTCTGCTCACAGCCCTGACTAAGCCTGTGAACCTCCTCCCAGCTGCACCAGGCACATAGGGAATACTAAATATGAAAACAAACCCCACAGCTTTGACCTTGATATTATTGTCAGGACTGGATTTAAGTGGATGTTGTAGATAGGGAAGTATCTCCTCATCTAGAAAGAGCTCACCTGTACATGTCCTCTTGTTTTCATGCAGTTTGTAGCCAACCCTGCAGCTGCAATAGTAGCCTCCCATGTAGTTGTGACAGTGATGACTACAGAGGGGCTTAGTATCCAATGGCTGTTTGCACTCATCAATATCTAATGGGCAAAGCACAGAATCAGGAAAACAAGACATTTCAATGAAATGTTCTCTCAGTCTCAGCCACTCTGTATTTTGTGAGGTTGGTCTTTGGCTGCTGTGCCACTCTGCATCTGCTTCTGTACAATGAGACCACCTTCTCCTGCCCCACACCAGCAGCCTCAGGCTATGAGAGCACAGGGAAGCACCAGCCTCACCATAGCTGTGGCTCTTCCATCTACAAGAGGGGCCGTTCTCTCACCTTCAGCAGCATAAAAGGCCTCAAAGCCTGTGAATGGTTTCTCATTGGAGTAATCAGACCGAAACACTACCACAAGGTGGTTGTCAACAGAGATGTACGTCCTGTTACCCGGAGCCTCCTCAGTGTCTGTACTGTCCTGTCCACACAGCATAGCCAAGGTTTTCCCACCAGAGCTCAGCTGCAAAACAGGCAGACAAATCCACCAGGTGAACACAGATCTTCCCAACCTGCTGCCATGGCTGGAAATGAACATGTTTAACAATGTGAGGAAGGAAGCTTGGATGCTCACAAAAGGTGCTTCTGGAGGTCAGTCCACATCCAAGGCCAGATAGGAGTGGATTTCCTCTGTTCTCTGTGATTTAAGACCATAATTTTGTCTCCCTTTCTCCCATCAGAGGTCCTCACAAAGCTCTGATGCCAGCCATGCTTTGTTTATAATATTCCTGTTAACTTGGCAGTCTCAGTGACGATCAGGTCTCAGTGAAGCCAGAGACAACTGGTGTAAAAAGGTTTCATATACTGACAAATTCAAATGTACAGGAAAAAGTGTCCTTAAGCAAGTGTCTCACTTGCTCTATGATGCACGTATTAGAGTTCCAGCTCTTCATTTATCTTTAACATAAAGGTTCTGATCCATGGGGTTTTATGTTGGGCATGGTAAAAAGGGAGCTGCGTACTACACACCTACCAGAAATGGATATTCTGTCCTACACAAAGGAAAGCACATGAAGAACAGAAGACATCTGGGGGATGGGAGCAACTTGCCATATAAAACCATGGAAATGAGATTTTTCTCAGTAGGAACAAGGCTGCCTGGTTCAGTTCAATCAGATGCAAACTGAATTTGCGTACTCCCTGTGTACGCAGCTCCTACCTTATTGTACATCAGGCCCACGAAACAACAACAAAAGGAGTGCAGAGGTAGCACGGCCTCAAATCAGTGACAGATCCTGTGGACCAGAGCACACACATCTTTCATGGACACTGCTACTCCCCCAAACAGTTCCCTAAGGTAGTATCTTTGTTCCTCTTCCTGAGGCTGTTTCTCGCATAAGCCAGCAACACAGCAACTGATGCTGTGAGTGCCTGCTCACATGAACTGACAGTATCTTGTTTAGATGACCACTTACATTTTTTGGTCTCCCATTATAACCTGTGTCAAGTATTACTTGTTAATTTAAAACACTGTAACATTAGCAAAATGCTCAAATATTGTTTTGGGCAAAATTTCAAACTTTTTGCTTCACAACAGAAAAGCATCAGAATTTTCTGAGCAAAAACATTTCATGTTTCAGATGTTCCAATGTGGCAGCCACATCTGCTTCCTGGTCCTGTAGGCCTCAATAAACACATAATTTAGAAACCACCTGAGTCTGAACTTTACAAACAGACTGAAATCAAGAGCTGACAAAGAGTTGATTCTGCATGTACCCAGGATCACATAAACAGAGCTTTTAACAGGTGCGTCTGCTACATGTTACCCCGTCCTACACATACCTTCACATAATCATATTCACACAGGTAGGACAACTCCAGGTTGAAATGGGTGAAGTAAATGCGGACAGAATATCCTTTGGGGACAGTAATATTCCATATTTTCTCCTTATGATTTGGGTAGACCTTTGGGAAGTTTGGGGATGTGATCCTCCCATACATTTTCTGTGGCACAATGCCGCTCCTTACTCCACTATAGAGCACAGCCAGCAAAATAAACAGCCTGTGTCAAAGGGACAGAGATTATCGGAGAAAGAGTGAGCATTAACTTGGATCATACCCCAAAAGCCACATATCCTAGTTGCCCCTCTCAATACCAAATCAGGTCACTCAGCACTAGCTGCAACCTGCATGCCCAACACCTTCCTCACTTAACAATGAAAACAATCGGGAGTTATCAGTTGGGTCATTGTAGTAATAAGTAAACAGGATGACCCTCATGCTCATGCCTTCCAGACCCTGCACAAAGCCAAGTGGACAGAGGAGCTGGAGGTGACTGCACTCACCTCATTCTGATGCCTTCCTGTCTGAGCCTGTTCTGCTCTGAGCCTTGGAGAAGGAATCCCTTATCATGTATTTGCATTTGGGGGTGGATGTATTTATTGTGTGTGCTCTGCTGTGTTTGTCTGGATGTTGAACCCTTGTGTTTATCTCCCTTCCACCCCCTTCAGCCTGCTGAGTTCTGGGAACAGCAATCACTAAAAACCAGGCTCTGGTTCAGGTTTCAGTCAGTGACACAGAGAGGCAGGCAGAGATGGAGAGGATGGGTTAGGAATGCTGCAGGCTCTTGGAGGGAGCCATAATATCACTGCTCTGTGGGAAGGCAGGCAGTGGGAGGAGGTGGCTCCAGACAGTATCTGTCCTGGTGAGCAAGGGGAGCTGGCAGTGCTCTTTCCCTCTAAACAACTGATCCACATTTAATGTTAATGCAAACAGCACGTTACAGGAAGTAGCTCATTCCATTATCAGAGCACGAAGATGTTGGAAACAATAATGGGGCACATTACAGGATTTTAGAATAATTATGAGTCTGGTTGGATGGTTCTTTGCAATGGGACAGGAATACTTAGGGGACATAACACTACAGTACACACAAGCAGCAGTTTCAGAGATGCCGAAGTCTTCCAGTTCCCAGCTGCAGATTTTAATCCAGTGCATGCTTGTGGTGACAGAAACCTACTCCATGCCTTCTTCATACACACGGACTGCTTTTTAACCTGCCCATCCTGGAATACCCACAAGGTAAAAAGTCACACTTAAAAAAAATACCCAAATTTTCTTTTAAACATTTGTGGACGCACACAGGGGTTTCACACCACCCAGGGAATTCAGCTGGGAGAGCAAACACTATGGGACACAAAGTTTTATTAATTCCCCTGCATGCAGACTGCTTCTTTCCAAATCAACATTTAGGTTTCCCACAAAACTTCTATTCCAGCACACATGGAGATAGGCCTAATAAATAGAGGGTGAAAACCCAGACATATTAAAGCTGAGCCTATGTCCATCTCTGGACATAGAATGGACAGAATTGGAAAACCAATCGGCAGCAGAGAACACACTGTTGGATTGCACATGCAGGAAATTTATCCTGAGATATCCTGTAATCAAAGGGGCACCTTCACAACAGCCAAAAATCATTACCCCAGGCAGTGAAGCTGGTGCTGGCAGGAAAGCAGGAGTTATTATATGAACAAAACTAAGGACAACAAACCATTCATAAGACTGCGAGCAGAAAACACCATTTAATAAAAGTGAAGGGAAAAGTACTAGCAGTAGTAATTGTGTAGCAGCAATACCTACGAGCACAGCTAATGGACAAGAACCAAGAGGACACTGACTTTTCCCATGGCCCACTAGCTGCTAAAATGATCCTATCAACAAAGATAGATGTGGACTCGATACTATCTGGAAATGAGGGAATAGACAGAGAATTTTGAAAAAAAATCAGTCCATGCCTGACTGAGCTGCTGCCTGATTTCCATAGGCATAAATACTTCCAGAAGCATCCCACTTCGGGCTTCCTGCTCAGATCAGTAGCAGAGGAATGGAAAGTCAATTCTGATCTTAGGTCTGAAAATTTTCTCACAGCCCAGAATTGCTCTGAGGCTGACAGTTGCTGCTGAGCACTGAAACAGGACAGCTGAGTTAATAAACTGTTATGCTGGAGCCTGAGAAATTGAACACTTGGTGCACACATTGGCCTTCCTCTGGCATGGTCTCTGGAGAAGCACCTCAGGTAAACAAGGCCAAAAATATTGTTCCTGTTTCTTTGCCCAGAATTCTTTCACCTCCAAAATGCTGCTGGGGATTAGCTCACCAGGTGTATAACCATTTTGGGAGCACTGATAGCTATTCAGGCCCCTTAGATGCTCTTCCTGCCCACAATTTCTCTTTGGCACAGCACTAAGCCAGCACAAAGGCTGAGTGGACTTCATCCACATCACTGCAGCTTCCAGTGCCCTGTTACTTGCTGAGTTACCAATCCACTTCAGGAAGTTTGGGTGTTACCAGAAATGATGGGTATCTCCTGATAAGTTTGCCCAGTTGTCTTGTGCTCCTGTCTCCTTCCATGCTGAGAGCTGACTGAGGTAGCCTCATTCTCAACAGAAACACCAAGCTAAGGTTTAGAGAAAGGACTTACCTTGAAAAAAAACCCAACTACTGACAGTTCTGACAACTTCTGACAGTGACACTGAGATGACCTCATCTGAGCCCATACTTTCAGACCCTGCACAGTCTCTCAAAATATGCTTTTACTACTCTACATTGAGGACTGTCGAGGAAAGTTTTCAAATTGCTCCTTTGGAAACAGTGAGTGCAGACAGCCAAGTCAGACACATGAATAAATCAGCAAAAGCAGAGCTGCTCAGCCAGCACAGTGCCTCAGGCTGGTACCACTAAGATCCAGAGACCTGAACTCCACTTTTCCTGCCAACCTAGATAGTAGCAGAAACGAACTGAAAAAATGAGAAGGCTGGGAAGCAGCTCTGCAGGGCCGTCACCAACGTGCTGTGAGATTCAGGCTAAGTCACAAGGTAGCTCTTCATAGCTACCTTGTAGTAGTTCAGATTTCCCTCTAATCTCAAATTTTCAAGCTGCAGAAATGTTACTTCAGGTAGGTTCTGCCTAAGATGTGTTTCTACTGAGAGTTTAAGCTGTGACAAACTCTGAGACCTTCTAAAAATAAAATCAATATAGCCCCACTATTGATTTAATCAAAAAAGTCCCAGACAGCTCAATTCTCAAATGGACCATGTAAAGCCACAGTGCTTCTGAAAATCAGCTCGTGCAAGGTACAAAACCACCTCTGGGCCTTTGAAAGGCAGCTTCTGTATTCTGACAGCAATGCCACAAAAAGCATTGTAAAAACTGATTGGTATTTCAGGCGTGATAAACAGGAGAGTGAGCGTCTGGACATGCCTCCAGTTCTGAAACACAGGTACAGTGCCAAAGCAAGAGGCTGGTTAATGAATGAAGGAAAATCATGCACAGCAAAGTCATCTAACAGAGGAGAGCTGTCCCTGCATCAACCAGGAGAGCAAATGAGCACAATAGCTGTTTGCTGTGATCCCTGAAGACATTGCTCCCGACTGCCCCTTCTTTTTCAAATGCCAGCTGCCTCTGCAGAGCTCTAAGAGATTGCTTGGATGCTTGCTCTTGCCTGGCTAAATCCCATCCTTCTGCACTGAGGTGTTCAGAGGACGAGGGGAAGGAAATAAAGCAGAGGAAAAGATGTTCTGTTTCCTCATTACAAATCAAATAGTGTGACTCTCATCAAAAGACAAGCACACAGACGGAGCAAGCAGAGCTTAGAGTGGGGCAGGGGGAAGAGCCTGGTTGCTATGAAACAGGAAAAAAATAGTCTTGCCAGGGGAAAAATAGCAGGCAGAGAAAACTACTGCAATGGGGGAAGATACTTTGTTCACTTAGGACACGCCTTCCTCCTTCCCATGCTGTCTACTGCTATCTCATTGCTGCACATTCTGTTTGCAAAGACAGACTCCAGTTGCTACAGAGAGCTGGGGGACATTTATCCAGCAGCAAAAAAAACACTGGCCTTGGCCTCTCTACTCTGCATGTGCTGGCTTTCAAAGGACAGCCAATGCAATTCTACAGCGTCATCCTCATCGGAAAGCACTTGGATTTGAGCTCAGATTGTCTAGGAAGATCTGCAATAATTCTGAGGTAAAGATACCGGTTGACAGTTTTACTCCTCTGGCATTAGCAGAGCTTGCAAAAGCAAAGATGATCATCATCGGTGTGGGACTGGTCTCAGGGTGGAAATGTGAACTCTCCAGGACCACCACAGAGCTCAGAGTGCAAAGCACACACAAATTATACCATGAATATGTACATACTGAAAATGATAATGTGTAATTACATGCATAAGTTCTGTTCAACTGCAGAGCTGCAGAATCCAACACATAATTTTCACCCGTGCCAGCCCATCTCAATCAACTGCATGGATGGCTGTCTGTGTATTTATGCATGTGATTATACAAATTCCAGGTGCTGTCAGCTCACAGCACAAGGTCTGCCTTTGGAAGTCAAAATTTGGCTGCTGTCTCTATTTCCATCTCCCTTTCATTCTTTCCTTTTTTTCATGACTGCTCTTCCTGTGTGTTATAAATGCAACGGCAAAAATAGGGTTAATATAAAAAGCGATTTATTATAAAACAATTTCAATCACAAACAACGAGAGAAAAAACCACAATAAAATAAATCAGCGCAGCGCTGGGTGGACAGGGAGACGTCTATACCCAGAGGTACAGATTTACCCAAATCCACAAAGTAGGCACTGCAGTCCGGGGTTCTTATAGGGGTTTTCGTATCCTGGGGCAAAATCCGGAGTAAGCACCGTCCAACAAAAGAGTTTGAATAGACTTCCCGGATCCGTTGAGCTGAGTCAATGGTCGGTGGAGCAGAGTCCTTTCACATGCGAGAAGCTCTGAGTGTCCTCCGATTGCATTTCCCGGAATGGAGTGTCCAGTTTGGGTGTGGGAGCAGATGGGTATCTCGACGGAGCAGAGTCCTTTTCACATGTGAAATGGCTCCAAGTGTTCTCTGATTGCACCTACCTGGGTGGAGTGGCCAGCTTGGGTGCGGAGGAGATGGATATCTCCACGGAGCCACTCTCATTGTCTGGTTTGATTGCTTGTGTCCTGCTTTTTATTTTGTGTTGATAAGCGTTGCTGCCGGTCGTTACTGCCCGGGGAAGGTATCTCTGGATTATTTCACATTTTGCATCTTTACAGTATTACAAATATAACATATAATTCTTTATTCTCTTTCACAAATTTTTATCCAATGTTATATTTATCACACTGTGCATGTATACGCACTGATTAACACTGTAAAGTACTGAATTCACCTCCCAAATGTCTAACTCGCTGAGACTGGAGGAAGCAGTAAGTTCCTGAGGCTCTCTCTCTTCCCAGGAATAGGGAAAAGCTGACAAACATGATGAAGAATAGGCTTGAACAGCATCAGGATTAGCAAACTCATTAAACCAACTTCCAACAGGTTCCTTGTCCATATACACATACAAATGCATTTTCT